AATCATCAAAGGTCCTTATTCTTGTTAAGGAATTGAGACTTGCATGGAAATTAAAGGAGCAATGGGGTTCAGCATTCAGATCCAAGAACGGACTTATTCGCAGTCTTGATGCTCTTGCATAGAAATACTTTAAACGTATGTAAATTCTGATGCAAAAGTAGCAAAATTAAATTACCATACCAATATTTAGAAAGCTTTGTTTCTTTGTGTCTATGATGGCATCTGAGCACTAAATTTGTGTGTGATTTTTCACTATGTTCTTAAAAGAATGTCATAAAAATAAACCAAGCTGTGTTTAATTTGGTTAGTTTCTGCTTTACCTATACTCTACTGTCACCTCGAAAAAACAAACAATATCCTCTGTAAGCTGTATCTCCAAAACTGGTAGTGCTGCATTTCTGCCTTTGTTTCCATTGGGATTAATGCACATGGAACCGTTCATTCCAAAGTGAATCCTTGGAGAGAAAAGAGAGTTCTTACAGGTATTTTGTCTTCACAATGTTTCCAAGCATCACACTAGTGTATGTTTGAAGTTATAAACTGTTCTTACCTAACCAAGTCAGTATGTATGTACATTAATTCTAGCCATTAAGAGTAACACAGCAACAAACTACTTGCTTACATAATGTTCAATTCCCAGAGAAAAATCTCCCCAAGTCAAAACTACTCCAAAACATAGCAGTTTTCCAGTGGTCTTCAAAATTCACTAAACAGAAACCAAAACTGATCATTAAGTAACATGCTTTTCTGGTGTATCACACTTAGAATTTTTTCCACTTGACATGCTGGTCTTCCAACACAGGTTCTTAAGTCTTCAGGGAGGCTGAAGGAAATGAGGCTACTTTACCAGAAAATTTTCTGTTAAATCTGGCAGAAGTTACCTTGTATGAAAGGAAAGATTTCAGTCCCTTAATTGCCAACACTTTTATCATATCAAAGCTACTTCCAATAACACCATAAACAAAGTAATTAACATCTGCCATATGTTGTTTTCTGCTTTTCTTTGCCTACACCCAAGGCAAAACCTGCAGGTCAATTAAAAATTAATATAAGAAAGAAACTGAAAAATGCCCAGAGGGCAAAGGAGTGGAACAGACTCTTTCAAGCATTCCTCCTACTGGTCACTAATGCTTTAAAAGGTCCTACATTTTATGATATATCCTACTAGGAGCTAGTATACGTGAGCAAAGGACAAGTTTGACTATGGCCTCATGCATTTTATTTATTACAAATTCACCTGTTACATTCAAGCCATAAAAAAAACTTATGTAAGAGATTGTCCTACTTGTATACATAGTATATCAGAAAATAAGGATTATTGTGTAGGTACAAAAAGATGCAACAGAGTTAGAAAGATTAGAATTATGTTGCAAGTAGAAGGGTAAAAGAAAACCCTTAAATGGAAGTCTTATAAAAGAGTCTTACTTATGTATCCTGTATTAATTACCATAAAGAATGAGAGGGGATTTTTTTTTCATAATCCAATATACTGTGCATTTGGTTAGATTTATTTTTAGTTGACTTTGCATTACAGAAGCATACTGAAATAGAAAAAGTAATCTAGATGATTCCAAGTACAACCCTGGTGGCTAGTACAACATGTCCAAGGGCTTAAAGCATTGAACAAAATCCTAAACATGCCAACAAACTCGTAATAAGCTCTACAAAGCATAAGCAAACAATGATTTGGCAGTTTTTACCATTTGTCTAGGAGACAGCTTCACAAAAAAGTTAAAGTACACTCATTACCAAAACCATTCATCTGCCAAATTTCAAACCACAGTTCCAAACCAAGGAGATGTTAATATTGCTGAAAGAAAGCAAGCAAGAAAGTAATCATAAATGTATACATACTGAATACTAAGTTGGTTTTGTTTTTTTTTTTTCCACATTGGTTTATTCATGATTCAGTTGCTCTGATTAATGTTGAGTACAGAATTTAAGCCTAAATTTCTTAAGGAAAGTTAAAAAGACTTGCAAGTAGAGCTTGTAGTGGAAGACATTAAGTAACTGTTACTTCATGCACTTCTCTGAGTTTTGTCCTTAGAAAATGCAATTTCCTGCTTGAAACAAAGCATTTCAGGGATTAATTGTCCTTTTCAGACACTGTTACTTGGAATTTTAGGCTAAGAATAAAGTAGTAGATTATCCAAAAAGGTAAGTGGCTATATCTATTATTTCCAGCATTACAGAGAGAAGATTGCAGGTAAGTTTCTTGATAACACTAATTTTCAAATCTCTGAAAGTAACTTTAGCAAGAACAAGATGACCCATGAATACATATAGTCTGAACGCACAGGAAGTCTTTTTCTCTCCTCTTACCTCAAAGCTTTCTGATCAAAATACATAAAAAGTTCCTTTCCCAATGTCTCCACACCCCTGTAAACATGTCCAACAAGGAAATCATGACCAGAGGTTCCCTCCTTGCTTGCAGCAGTCTAAAAATGAACACACACACACAGATTAAAACAGAATTTATACTGCTTTGATTCTAGCATTAGTACACATTCACCAAATTGCTGATTTTTCCATCCTGAACATTAGACCTTCTCTTCTCAAGCAACTCTACCAAAACCCGTGAGACTGTTAACCCAGGAAACAAAGAGTCACTGTTGCTCATACTATCCCAACTCAGCTCCTTCTCTTCTGAATTGCAACAATACATCTTTTTTTATCAGTGAATTTTATGCCTTTTCCTTCAAGTAATGAATTTACAAGAAGACTTTAAGGCTGATGCAAATTAAACAGGTACAGTTCAAACACTAGTTGTCAGTATCAGTTCTGCCATTTGCAGGCCTACATCCTTCTCCAAATGCCTCCTGCTGGAATTTCTACCCATGCTAATAATGCTTTCAGTGTTCCACATGGCGCAATACATATTACAGAAAAGCTACTGCTGAGCTGACAGAGATACTTCTCTCTTCCTACTAGTTTAAAGTCTAATCTCAGATGATGTTGAACAGGAGGTGGGATGCTAAAAGAGGAGAAGAAAAAGATAATTCTGAGATGGAAACAATGATTTTTTCTTGCTTAGCACATGAAACTCCACTGAAATCATAAGAAGGGACCACTATTGATTATCTTGTCCAAACACTGGGGGCTCAAAGCAGGACTGTCTTACGTCAGGCAGCCTTAGGTCAACTTCAGAGTGGCTCTAGGAACAGACACTCTATTGGGCCCTCGTCCCAAAACTTGACTATTGTATTAGGAAATGTTTTCATCCACAACTTAATCAGAAATTCTCCTGTTGTCACTTGTATCTGTTGTCTCTAACCCTACCTGCACCTCTGACAAGAGTCTGGCCCTGTCTCTTCTGCATCCTCCTTGTAGGTGTTCTATCAGCTTCTTCAGCTCTATGTACTTCAGCCAGCTAATCATACCAGGGGCTTCACTCTAGCATGTTACTTTTTTCCTAGTGGGGAGTTGGAATGTACTCCAAAGTCACTGTAATCCAAATGCAGCCTTGCAAGTGCTGAGCAAAGGTAAGAATCACTCTCCTCAGCCTGCTGGCTACATCATCATTAGCACAGTCCAGTACAGGGCAGGCTGTCTTCCTTGGAGGGGCAAGTCTCAGCTGGTCTGAGCCTCTTTAATACGTGGAGCTGTTTTCCACATGATCAGCAGCCAGGCCTGTGCCACTGCATGACATATTCTGTTCCAAGTGCAGGACTCTGCATGTCCTGCAAACGCTGAGCCTGTAAAGGTGCCCATGACAAAGAGAACCTTGAGGTCCCCAGAAGGTCTGTTCAGCCCCTGATGAAACCTGCAAGCACTATCTTCACTGTCATGGGATCCCTAAGTGCAAGGCAGATTGGTGTACCAACATTACATCCTGTGTGCACTGAGACCAGGTGCCACATTTATTTAAATAGTTGGTCTAATTAAAATTATTTAATAAAATAGTCGTAGAAGTAAACCCTCCCTCTCTGCAGCCCAACATGTACCTACTCCACCTCGTCATTCAGACTTTTGAAGACTTATGAGAAAAATTAAAATTAGTAACTGCTACTATAAATTTCCTTCGATTGTAGGTTTCCTGACACTAAATGACATTTAAAGTCTACTCTAAGTGAATGAGAGTGATTCTAAAACATTTCCCTTGCTATTTCCAAAAGCCCCCGTGTTTGTACAGCTTAGTCATCCCCTTACACAACCGACCTTGTTTGTTATGATGATAAGAATATTTAATAATTTAAAATACGAATTAAGACTGTACCTACGGACGATCCCCCAGCGAAGGGTACCCGGGGAGCAGGAGCCCACCCGGGGAGCAGGAGCCCACCCGGGGAGCAGGAGCCCTGCCGCTGCCGGAGAGCAGGAGGAGCAGCCACGTCGGCCGCAACGGCCATCCTGCTCTGGCCCCGCATTCTCACCCCCCACCCACTGCCTGCTCCCAGACTCGAGTCCTCTCCCATAAACCCGGCAGCGTTCACCGCCGCGCACACCCGGGGACCCAAGCTCTGCGACCCCGGCCCGGCTTGGCTCGGCGCTGCCCCTGAGGGGAAGCGCCTCTCCCTCACCGCGCTCGGTCCCTCACCGGGCCACCAGCTCCGGCCGCGGCTGCCAGAGCGCTACCCCGCGCGCTCCGCACCGCCTGGTCCCGCCGCACCCGGGCCCGTAACTTCTCGCCATAGAGCGCGCAGCCTGGGCCCTCCACCATGACCGCAGGGTACCGCCAGGCGCGGCACTCGGCGCCTCCCGCCTCTTCCCTTCAAATCTGCCGCTGGCTCGGGGGCGGTGCTGCCTCGCCGGGCCCGCCTCCGCCCGGGTGAGCGCTGGGCCAGTATCAGCGGGGAAGTCGGGGACGCGTACGGTCCTTAGAGAGTTCAGGCCTAGACTGACAGAAGGAAACCGTGCCCCGAAGGGCTCCGCGGGCAGGCGGGCTGCAGCTGCGGGGCTAGGTGAGGGTGGGTCGGTGCGGGTATGGCTGCCGTTGCCGGACCGGAAGAGGTCAGTGAGGTGAGCCTGACCTAACCCACCGCATAGTTCTCTTCCAGTGCCGCCCAGCTGGTGTTTTAAGCTTAGACGGCCCTTTGTGTGGACGGGAACCCTAATCAAAGAGCATTGTTTTGTGAGACACTTAAGGGAAGGCACGGTATCTTCATTTTGTTCTTAAGTGTGAACTTTTAATGCCCTCTGATACCTAATGAGCTATCACAGGCTTTCTGGTATTTAAACCACTCTTAAAGTCCACCTTCTTTCAAGACTTTCTTAATGCACAGCTCGAAGTTTCAGCCTTATAAAGTCAGTATTTAATAGTTTTTTGCACTCAGTCCACGTTTACACGAGGTAAATGCTTCCTTCCCTGCTTCATTGGAAGTAAGAATAGACATCATAAGCTCCACAAACTCTTAACAAAATTGAGGGAACTTGCATTTGAGGGTAGTCTCAACTAATACTGTTTGTTACATAAACACTGCGTATCCAGTCTGTTATCTGGGCTCAATCTAAATGCATTTATTCCTAAAAGAATAAATCTCTTTTTTTTTTTTTCCTGTAAGGAAGTGACTATATGAGGTTAAAGTAGTTATGTTTGCTGAAATAAAACTGTGAATGCAGGCGTGCTACTGAAGTTGAGTATGCTACCCTTTGTTACAAATGCCTTTTTTCTTTTTCGCAGTGATGTTTTTGCTGTGATCTTTCTAGATCAAAACAACAAGGCAGTCATTAGCCAGAGAATTAAGCTTACTCATCAGAGAGCAGAAATCACCAATGTTCCAATACGGTATGTGAAACTCAGACTGATTTTTCTGCTGCCCTTGAGTCCTGCCTTACTGTTCTTCCAACACAGAAATTAATGCATAACTTGGGTTTCTGTATTCATATGTAGGCACCTTAAAAGTACAGACAATAACAATTTCTGTTACTTAACTATCAAATGCAATGTTTTTCATTATAAGGGATTTTATAACTCGATATTTTTCAGTGGATGGTTTGTGCAGTGTGTTACAGCAGATTGGGTTTTCAATTCCACATCTAATTCTGCAGGTGCATCAGAAGCTCCAATACTATCCATTTGTTACGGTTCTCTAGCCCTTTATCCACTCATGTAAACAATAAACTTTAACTAGAGATTCCACAGTAACTCTCCTTTTGCATGCACTTTTATTCCTCTAAAAGTTGATTTCCAGGTACATACAAGCTGTCATTGGTGAGCTTTGTATTACAGCATTTGGTGGTGGTTGGTAAATATTTGTGCGTTTGCTTTAATAAAAGCTTTTAAGAATACATTTGAAGCAAAAAGAAGAGAGGTAATAACACTGTAAGAGACACTAATCTGACTGTTTTGCACTTCGAAACAAATGCCCAATGCTGAACTCAAAATCAGGATATTTTTAGGTAAAAGTGCCTAAAAGCAGCTGAATGAGGAACAGTTGTTGGGCAGAACTGTTGCTGATACAGTTTTTTTAATTATATAGTAGTACAGCCAAGACAGAAACACGCAACTGTGTGTTTTCAGTGTTCCAAGTGGAATAATCTTAGCTGCTTTTGTGGCAGTCATTCCTTGAGTCGGGAAATCTCAGTTGCTGCTATTCAGTTTCAACATTACAGTTCACTACAGGCTACAAGGGAAGAAATTCTGTTAAGATGCAAGTGTTAAAAGGAGGCTGATGGATTGCTTACAAAATAAAAGCTTTCATTAAATTTATTTCAGGGTTCTTTATTAAATAACAGTTCTTGGCAGGTAGTTCCATCAATAGTTGTTCACACCTTATTTTGACTTTGAAAAATGCAGTGTCCACAAGAAATAATCTCTCCTGCAGGTAATTAAATGTACAAATTTCAAAAACAAACAAGCAAATAAATCTCACTTGAGTGTAAGTTTAACATTTGACTATTTTTTACTTCCTGTCTGCTGCTGGATCAAAAAAATCATAGCATATGTACTATAATAATTGATAACAGCAAATAATAGCAAGTTACCTGCAGTGAAAGGTAACATCTATTTTTAAAACAGAAATTGAGTAAATCTACATATGCTCATAAATTTGTCCTGTTATTGTAGTTGTGTGCACAGCTGCCTCTGTTATTTTTCCCAGTGGTGTTCTCAGGCACCATTTCTTGATTTGATTGTGCATTTGCAATATTTACATTCAGACAATGACATACAGTGTCACAGTGTGCTCTGGACTGGACACATATTTTTGCTGACATACCTGGGAAGTTATTGCAGTTGTGATCTCAATAGGAAAAAAACCACAAACATTTTTTTCAAAAAATTCAGATTTTCCCGAATTATGAAAAGAATACAATCCTTTATTGCATTTCCCAGAATTCATATGGAAGCCCTGCTTCCCTGCCTTGTTGTATTTGGCATGAAATTGCAAGAGTAGAGCTATAAAAATCCAGTTGCTCAAACTCTTTGTTCTATGTGGAATTCCTCCATTCGATTAATGTGTTAGTCTTAGACCATTGGTGCACAGCTAAATTTGCAGTTAACAAATCTTTGAAAAAAAGATGTTGGCAAGGAGTATTATCCTATGGCAAATATAGACTAATTTAAATGGAGTATCAGTTTAGACCAAATGGCAAAGTTAGATTTTTTTTGAAGGCAACACAAGAGAACAGAAAAATGCAGAATACAAGCACACACTGTTGTCTTAATCCAGTGGTCTGAAGAACAATATCAGGATTGAGACTCTTGCTCAAGTCATAGTTTTTTTTTTTTTGTTTTGGCTGGTTGAAATATACAGTGAACTACAAAGACATTCCCTTTATGATGGCAAAATCTTGGATAAGAATTAAGAAGCAGTGGATGACTGATCTGTTTCATCCTTGCCTGGAGAGTTAATGTGGACAGTTAAGCACACTCAAATTTGCTCATCATGTAATCCTAATGAAATCCTTCCTAACCCTTGTAAAAACATTCCCAGATCCTTCAAAATGAAGTCTCTTAGTGCAATTAATCCAAATAGTTGCACTGTTCAGGGAATGCATTCTGGTTCTGAATTCCTGGTCTCCCAGTGATTTTTGAAGGTCACGCATAGTTTATATGAATGCATAGTGAAACCACTTTTTGTCAGTTACCTCAAAATAAATAATGCCTTGAGTGCTGGGATACTTTTTTGGTGTAAAACTCTTACTTTACATTACAAAACATGTACCATTATAACTTTGTTTTTTTAAAGCTGCAGTTATTGTAAAGATACAGACCAAGGAAATTCTATGGAAATTGCAGTAAAGCGTCAATATGAAATTATGAACTAAGTTGTGAATATCAGTTTTAGTGTAGGAGTTTCTGACATATATTTCAGTGTTGCAGCCACAATAAAATGCTACAACTCACATACTCTTCTTACTGAACATGGAGCATGTGTTAAAAATACTTATAATTAATGGATTAATGGATTTGGAGTAAAATGGGTAGTTGAAACTTAGTGGTACCATCCTAATTTATGACAATGGAAAACTGGTCATAGATAGGCATATTCCTAGGGTTCCAATTCATATACTAAACAAGAAAGTCAATTTCTTATTTATAAGTTGAATACATTATACTTTAAGTAAGTCACCAGAGCAGGACAAGACTTAGATAAAATACCAAAAACAAACCCCAAACAAAGAAGCCACTTAATTATGTGTACAGTTATATTTTTAAAAAATTACTAATGTTTTGATATTGTCACAGTATTACCAGAATTTCTCTGAGCAATGATTAATAGTGTGACAGATTCACCTGTCAGTAAGTGTTCGGCTGTAAGCAAGTCACCATTCTTTTAGAAAAAAATAGCTTCTTTTCTCTCTATCAATTCTTGATTTCTGCAGAGTTAAAAAAAAAAAAAAACTATTTGAAACTCTTGGGTAGTTTGACATCTAAGTTTTCAGTAGAATAAATTTGCTATATTCAGTCAGGAATTAGATGTGGATTGCTTTCAAATGGTGAAAGTCATACTTCTTTCCTAAGAGACCTTTGTACTGTATTAATCTATTACCCTTCAGGTTGAAGGGTTAAATCCACAAGTGGGAATTAGACTTAAAAGGAGAGATGCAAACTATTCACACTCCCTAAATTTCAGTAATAATTAGGGTCCACTGACTATACTATATTTGTAAGGTAATGGAAACTCTGAACTCCCTATCTAATCAATGGCAAAAGGTAGGCACCTCACCAGACAGTGATTTAGAGCAGGGGCCTCATCAGGGCTTTCTCTCCACTAGCCACACTGGGAGCAGTGCCAGTTCCTGCTATTGGTTACCCCACCGCGTAACTTCAAGCAGTCACCTGTTTTCCTTATGCACTGTAAGGGAAGAGATACATCTAAGAACATGATTCCCTTGTACTTTGAGCCAGGTGCTGTCTGGAAGTGTCATGGAGTTGCCTAGATGACTCTCTGCAGTCTGGATTCACAGCAGTGAACCACCTCCTTTGGTTAGATACCCAAGCAAAGCAATTTTTTTTCAAAAAAGAGAATGTGGAAGGTTCTTGTAAGCTGCAAACCATTGATACCTGGATAATCGGTGCACCTTTTCCCTGGGAAATGGAGAGCAATTGATCCTAGAGTTTCTAACTCCTGAGAAAGTATTCAGGGGACTAGAATAGTCAGTGTTCTGAACTGAGGCTAACTCCATCTCTCTTGATAGAGTGTTTCTATTTTGCATAAAATAATTTCATTTTTAACTAGAGCACTGACTGGCACCAAGGTCGTATAGGTTAGCCTGGAATTGTCAAATCTAATCTTCAGCATCTGACTGCTGAACATAATCATCTCAGACTTCGTATTTTGTAATATAATTCTCTCTGGAAGGATATTCTGATCTTAGGCTGTGATCTTGCTGTTAATTGTAACAGGAGCTTTTGAGAGTATGAATTTAATTTTGGCTTGTCTGGAATAAATCTGCATATAATGGTGTAGTGATTGAGGTATGTAAAATAAGTATTCAGTATCCATCTACACCCTTTGTTTGTTTGTTTGTTTTATTGAAGGGAAATATTTCACTACTCTAGAGATCCCTCTTCCTTCCTCCATCAGAGTATCTAATAACCCAGTGATAATGGCAGTTCCTTTGATGGCAGGAGATCAGCAGTCCATATGCTGCTCCATATCAGATTGGATGCTTTGAACCTAGATATATTATTCCTTCTGTGACTGTTTTAAGCCAGCAGGAAAGAGAGCTTCAGAGACCATAGCAATATTATCCTCACCATGTTTCTGTTCAAGAGTTGACCTGGTAAGCATTACAAGAAACTACATCTTTTGGAGTAGATTCCAAAAGCAAGATACATAGAAATACTCAATTCCACCTACGTATGAAGGTGGAAGAAACTGGTATCTTCAAATCTTGATGCCCATGCACATCCTAGGAGCAGAAAATTGGCTACAGCAGAAACTAGCTTCCTGGGAACTGAGGCAGCATTGAAATTAAATGTGGACAGCCCTGTTTTTGGGTGACTTAAGAGTTGGTATCAGATCTCTGAGATAAAACTATTACAGACTAAGTATTATTTTGTGTGTTAGAAAGCAAAACTAGAGAAAAAGATCAAAAAATATATTAATTCCTTCAGAAATGTTCAGCATAGTAGAAAAATCATGACATTTCAAAGTTCTATAACCATATTAAGCGATATCAGGTTTCTTTCCCAAATGTTTCCTTCCAAATGACGATGCCCAAAGGAGAGAACGTCTTTTACAGTTCTTCAGTTATAGAGCAATATCAGAGAAGAACTTACTCAGACTCAGGCTAAATTCAGAAATAAAATGTTTGAAAAATAACTGAAATACCCCC